CCCCAAAACCCCAAAACCCCAAAACCCCTTAGTAATTAAATCTGCTAAATATATTACTTCGATTAATTAAGCGTCAAAAATGGAACTAATGACAATATTTGCCATTCCATAATTTTCAAAAGCAGCATTCGCAATCGAAAGGGCAATCAGCACTATTACCACCCTTTCCTATTTTGAGTTCATCCATGCTATACACTCTCAACCCATCCTCAGTAAACTTGTTCTTTGATTTCTCCTTATCCCTAATTTCTTTCCTCTCTTCCTTCATTTTTTATTCCTATAATTTCTTTAATTTTTTAAGTTTTTTTTCTTGTTTGAGTTTTTTTTCTTCTTTGGAGATGCTAGATTATTCAATATCCTCTGAATTTTTATTACTATCAGCTGATTTATGTTCCTCTTTGGAAGATAATTTAGATATTTGTTTCTTTTTAAAGAGTTGATCAAGAGTGGATTTCACGTCTAACTTTGTCTACTTTTCTTTGTTAGTAGTGTTTTTCTGCTTGTCTTTCATTATTTTTATTATTAAATGAATAGAATATTTATAATTATAGGTCATAGAGATTATCATAAAATATAAGTTTAAGATTAAAGTATATCATTAGATTTAAACGATAACTATCGAATCATTGCTGTTAAATTCATTTTGATCTACTTTATTCACTGCAACATAATTGATTCTGAATTTACTGAGCTTTTCAAGCTTTAATTTGCTTGATTATCAATGACAGAATCAAGTTTGCCCTTTGCAATGAATTCCTTCATCATATTAAATGCAACTTCTGGTTAATCGGTGGGCACCATATGACCCGCATCATAGATTCTGAAGAATGTGAAATTTTCATAGCTTTTAACCTGTCCTCCCTAAGTCTTGTTATTGCTTTCAAGTTTTAAATTCTGGCCCCAGTCACTGAGATGTTTCGAGTTAAAATCGTCTTGATGATCCCAAGTAAGTGCTTAAGTCCAGGCTTCCCCTCCTCTCCAATTACATATGAAATCTTTGTCTCCACTGTAGATTAGCACTGGTAATCCTGCATTTAATGAATTCTTCAAGTAGACTCCATAATTATTTTGATTGTTCAAAGTCAAGGCGAAATGTACCGCTGAGTTACATCCAACCCACTAGCCATGCTTAGTATTATTAACCATTGATCTAAATTTCTTTCCCTACACATAGAACTCTAACCCGTCTTCCCCATAGCACATTGAGGGGAAGTTGCACTCCTCTCTTATATCATAAATGTTAAAGTTGGGATAAATAGGGTTTCCTAGAATGATCATTTGAGAAGCATCACACATTAATGCAGAAACAAGTGGGAACTCCATAAGCATCATAAATTAGCATAAATTCATTCCAAATTCAATCAGTAAAGACTTTGGTTTGTTGACTAATTTGTTTTCAAGGGCAAAAGTGTTATAAGCTGGGTACTAATAAAATGGATCGACCCAACCATTTCCAATGGCTATACCAGCTAGGTTTATATATGGATTTTACTCTTCATACAGTCTCTTAGTGAAAAGAGGGATATAGTGCCCAGCATAGCTCTCACCAGCAAGATATATAGGCCTGTTATTGAAATCTGGATACTTCTCAAGGAACCCTAAAAGAAAAGCATAGAAGTCATCAGAAAGCTGTCTTTCTGTGAATCTATATGAAAACTCATTGGTTGGATAACTAAAGCCAGTTCCAAGTGGCTGATCTAAGTACAAAACGTTTGAAAAATTGTTCCACGAATAGTTATTGTAAGTTGTTTCTATTGATGGATTCTTCAATCTATCAAATTTAACAGTATAAGGGCCATTCTCAGTAAACATCCCAAACTCGGAAGAGCATCCAGGTCCTCCTTGAAGCCAGATAACTAGAGGATCCTTGTCTGGATTATTTCTGGATAAGAACAACATGAAGAACAGTTGATCTTTAGAGTCGACATTAATGTAATCTGAGATAAAGGTGTCATTAATAAACGGCTTTCCCTCAAGCTTTGACTAAGCTAACTGAGCTCCTAGAAGGATGGTAGTTGCTATTAGTATTATTGCTTTCATTTAATATAATTATTATAATTATCTTAATTTTAGTTCTGTTCTTTAAATCAATAAAATACTCCAAATCTATTCTATTTAAGTTAATTAACTGATAATTAAATTTAGTAAATATATCATATTTCATTTTGAGAATTTATCATTCGTTTTCATTGATCTTTGGAGCTAAGTAGTACTTTAGTGAACCCATATTCTCAATTTCGTATTCTACAACAAGTGGAGTATCACAGGCAAGCATAAGCTTAACATAGTTGCAGAGAGAAGAGGCCTTGTTAAACATGTTTAAGTATCTGAGAGCAAATGATAGGGTCACTTTATCCTGTTTGGTATCTTTTTCATTGCTGCTATCATTTGTGCTAATCTTGATTACTCCTGAACCCACCTCTCCTTCAATTGAGAATTGAACGTATTCAATGCTTGCTTCAATGGTTACAGTCTCACTTAGTTGATGAAGTTCCTTGCATAATTTCTGGAAGTCAAATGAATTCATAGTAATTTCTGAGGAGTAATTGGTCTCAGGGATACCAAGATGCTCGCTATCTAGTGTAATTAAGTTCAAGTTGAATTGTGTTTGCTTTTCTTGCTCTATAAATTTTTGTTAAAACTAATAATTATGACTTACTGCTATTTGAGAAGCAAATTTGTAAATGCTGTCCATCTTCATCTGCTTTCATGCTGAGTTTGTCTTCATTTGAAGCAAGTTTGAGTACCTTTGCAAGGTTTGTGATTGAGATTCCTAAAGTCATTGCTCTATCTGCTCTATATTTCTCGAATCCTTACTGGCCAAGAGTCAAGGACACCAAGGCTACATGAGAGCTATCCATTGCTTGTAGACTGAGTCCTTGAGGAGTGGCATCAATGTTAACATCTGTAACTAAATCCTTGATGGCATCAATAATTTTCTTGAGGGTAGCAGCTTCTTTTAAAGTGGCTTCGAACATCTTCTACTCTTTTCTTATCTTTTGGAAAGTTAAAAGTTAGTTTTGGTTTTATAATTCATTCTCATAATTATTGTTTGGTGAATGATTTGACTAATCTTAATTTTTATATGATTAAGATCATATGGGGTTTTGGGGTTTTGGGGTTTTGGGG